AGTATTATTCCATTATTTTATGAAATAAATATACACTAAAAATGCAGAGAATACTTGTGGGGCAGAGGCGGGCACATCTTTGTGAGTTTGAGGCCAGCCTGCTTTATACAGTGAGTTCCAGGTCTATCAGATCTGCATATCCAAACCTTGTCTCAAAACAAAACAAAAAATGTAGCAAACAAATAAATAAAACCTTTCAGGTGGTGGGTACAGCTGAGCAGTAGCAAGGCTCACCTTTCAAGTGTGAGCTATATTGTTTCCAGTACTGATAAATAAATAAAACAATGAACAAAAACAGCCCATCCTTTCAACATTCTGTCTTGAGATGTCTGGCTGGCTGGCAAGCTCAGTACGTACTTCTTCTCTGTACTTCTTCTCTTCGGTGTGACTGCAAGCTAATTTAACTAATTGTTTTTTTTTTTCCAGTATCTGAGTCACATGCAGGTTGCAGGACAATATCCTGTCCTTCAATAGTGGTTTTTGCTAATAGAGGCCACAAGATGGAAATGTCTTCCTGTTTCCACATGCCCCGCCCCCACCCCTGTGCCACCCCAAGCCTTAATTTGCCTTGATTTTGTCTTACAGCAAGATCTCACTTGTGGATATGCAATTATATTCCTGTTTTTAATGCTGTTTAAAAAGCCACCTAAATCTTAGTGGTATAATACAATAATAATATATATTATTATTGGTATAATATAATAATACATATATATGTAAATATATAATTACTAACAATTTTTATTGTTAGTATCTTTTTTTTTCTCCATGTGGCATCAATTGGGACAGCTCACCTGGGGCTAGAGGATTCACTCCAAGACAATACATTCAGCAACGCTGGCCAGTTTTGTACTCGCCTTTTCTACTGAGAATCTGGTTGGAGCTGCGGGCTGGGAACCTGATTTTCTTCCTCATCTATCTGGTCTAGCCTGTGGCTGCTTTTGTTTCTTGAAATGAGTGAGAGGATTTTAGAACCATAGGTAAAAGTCAGGGGATGCTATACCAGTGTAGATATATATGTATTTTTAAGTAAATTTTTATTTTTTATATTAATTACAGTTTATTCACTTTGTTTCTTAGCTGTAGCCCCCTCCCAATCCTTCCCTTCCCTCCTCACCTCCTCCTCTGCCCCTTTCCAAGTCCACGGATAGGGGAGATCCTCCTCTCCTTCCATCTGACCCTAGCTTATCCGGTCTCATCCAAACTGGCTGCAATGTCCTCCTCTGTGGCTTGGTAAGGCTGCTCCCCCCATCCAGGAGAGGTGGTCAAAGAGCCAGCCACTGAGTTCAGGTCAGAGACAGTCCCTGTTCCCCTTACTAGGGAACCCACTTGGACACTGAGCTGCCATGGGCTACATCTGAGCAGGGGTTCTAGGTTATCTCCATGAATGGTCTTTGGTTGGAGTTTCAGTCTCAGAATAGTGTAGATATATTTATCACTACTGAACTGTGTGTTTAAACAGCTACGGCGGTAAACTTCATGTGCCTCTTGTCATTATTAAAAAAAAAAGTAAAGCGAGGAAGAGTTGAGTTGTCAAGGATGAAAAAGCCAACAACACAACGGCTGGCTGTGTTGTTGGTTCAAAAACTTTGCGTCGACAAGAGTTAACAACCACAACAACACACATGGTAGACTGCGGCCTCCTGCAGCAATGCTAGCACAGATACACAACTCCACGCAGTGCCCATAGCCCCCTGAATAGATCTTCAGTGCCTGCAATTCCCAGAGACAAACGTCTAAGACATAATTATGGGTTTAGATTTCTTAAAGCAAGCCTCAAAAGGAACGCTGCCAGCGTAACAGTGAGGAGTAATGAAAACTACAGGTGCACACAGTGTTTCCCTTTCAGCCTGGTATGCAACCTTGCAGGCCAGGCAGAAACATGGTACAGCATCAGGGCAAATATTTCCTGGCCAATAGCCCAATTTTTCCAGGATATGAACTCCCTTTGTTGTCTTATAATTCTTAGGATGCCTAGCAACCATTGGCTACCAAGGAGCTCTCACTCTTGAAACTTCATCTTTGAAATAGTAAATAAGTCATAAAGATCACCTGTAGCCTGGATGAATCTATAACTCCCCTCTTTTCTCTCTCCCTCCCTTCCCCCCTTCTCTCTCTCTACAGCCATTTTATAAATAGTGGAAGTTCGTTTACAGATTTCCCTTGGGTTTTTGCTGCTAATAAGTTACTCGATTTTTCTTCCAAATAAGTTCATACCATTCCTTTACTGAAAATGAAATCCCTTCCTTCCAGACAAACTGTCTCGGCCTACCTTGGCGGAGACCGTCTGCTTGCTGTTTCTGACAATGCTTGCTGTGTCAATACAATGGTGTGATTTTTAACTTTCACTTCCTTTTCTTAAAAATTATTTACCTTTATTTTATATGCATTTGTGCATTGGTGCCTTGTCTGCATGTATGTCTATGTGAGGGTGTCAGATCTTGGAGTTACAGACAATTGTGAGCTGCCATGTGGGTGCTGGGATTTGAACTCAGGTCCATTTAGGAAGAGCACTAACAGCTGAGCCATCTCTCCAGCCCCTCTCTTTCATTTCTTTAAGTCTCTTTCTTCAGTCTTCCTGTTGTGGGCAATGTCTTCATCCAGACCACACCTTCCAAAAGTCAATGATGACTCTATCTAGTGACTGTTCTTACACACCTTCAGGATTGTTTGTCTTTTGGAGACAGAGTTTCTCTGTGTAGCCCTGCATGTTCCAGAACTCAAGTCCAGGCTGGACTTGAACTCAGCCATCTGCTTGCCTTGCCGCCTGAGTGCTGGGACCAAAGGCACGCACCACCGCTGCCTGGCGTGTTTTGGGTGTGTGTTAGGCGCTGTGTAGATGTTGGGAACACACATTGAAGATGCCAGGTAAGGGCCCTCCCAGAGGACTTGTTTTTCTTTCCTACTCCAGAGCTTGCTACCTTTGTTTTGGCTTCAAGACCAAAATAAATAAACAAACAAACAAATAAATCAGGTTTTCTATCTGGAACTAAGCCAGAGAGTAGGGAAGATTCTCCCAGCATACTGAAAGCCCACAACCTAATCCACCTTCTAAATGGGTTCCGACCATTTTGTCATTTTTTTTTTTTTTCTTGCGTCCTTGCTAGGCTCCAGCGAAACAATGTCACTCTGCGGAATGTGTTCAGGAACAGGCCAGAGCAGCCAAGGAGGGCAAAGGGCTAGCCCTGCTGGCCGGCCCAGCCACCCAAGCCCACCACTCATTGCTCAGGGAGATATTGCCCCCTCGTGGCTCCTCTTATAACTGAACGGAAAAGCAGCCCAGCAGAGAGCTGCCAATCAACACAATCAAAGCGTCAAAACACGGACAAAGTTTCCGACTAGCTGTGGCTCTGCCTCCGAAGTTTTTCGACCGCTGTTCCAAAGACTCTTGGCTCCTTTTCCCCGAAAAGGCACCTTTGGTCCTGCAGAAAGCAATGCCATTATGACAGGCACTCAAAACACTGGTTTTCTTTAGAAACTTTCCCCACATCTCCAGACCCCCTTCAAAGAAAAACTCATTATCTAGAAACCAAGGACCGCTGCGGGTTTTCACCTCACAGCGAGCGCCTTTAGACGCCAAAGAAAAATGTTGCGTGTACCTCGCCTTCTATAATTTGAACCAGGATTCTGAGATTATGTTGCCTGGGAGTTGTTTGGGGTAGCTCGTCTCCACAACACCACTTCCAGCCGCCTAAAGGCAGGGCCCTTATCTTCAGAGCCCCCCCCGGCCCGCCCCGCCCCCATCCCGCCCCACCCCCACCCGCGCTCCAAGCAGGGAAGGGTAAAGAATGTCGGGGGTGGGGTGGGGAGAAAGAGATAAACAGTTAAAACGAGAGAGCACTAACAGAGGAATCATGTTTGCTGCGGCACGCCAGACAGACTTCCTTGGAGAGACAGGCACGGATCTACTGATACGCGGGGCTTTTAATTCTAAGCCTAGAAGCTTACAGGACCTATTGTTTGGAAAAGTTCTGTAGGACCAGGAAAATGGAAACTTCCTTAACAATAATGCCAGCTTCCGCCTATTGTAAACCACAATTGTGCAAGAGTGAGTGGCTAGGGGCCGGGGCTCGCCCCGTCTGTACTCTCTGAAACCCTGGGAGATTATATGTGTATCTGTCTCCTCCTCGGTGAAATGAATACATACGTTCATTTCACTGACGAGGAAGCTATGCGGTCATCCCGGCGTTGGGAAATTGCTTTGATTCTCCAGAGGTGAAGGTCCCGACCTTTGAGGGGCACCGAGGGACGGTCAGCCAGCAAGTAGAGACGGAGTGCCTGCTGTACTCCAGGTAGCCCACGAAAGGAGTGGCGGGCTGGAGAAGGGCAACAGGGCGCGGTGCCCTGTCCCAGGAAGGGGCTCCCCGAAGAGCGAAGTGAACAAACCGACCCCACACCAGTCTGACGCCGGCTGTGCCATTCTCAACAGGGGCCGCCGGAAGCCCAGAGAGCGATAGCGGGCCACGCGGGGGGGCGGGGGGAGGACGGGGAGGCTTTGCGGGACTTGGGGCACCCGCCGTGGGCTGGCAAGCCGCGTCCTGCGAAAGCGGGGCTCGGCGGTGGGCTGTCCCGCGTGCCTGGCACCTTTCCGCGCGGGAAGGACTGGCCAGGACAGCGGGTTTAGGTGCACCTTGGTCGTGAAAAGCAAGCAAACAAGAGTAGCACGCTTCAGCACCCCCCCTCCCCAAAAAGCTCGGCCCCCCTCCAAAGCCCACCCGCGCCAGGCAGCTGGGACATCCAGGCCCTCGGGGCTGGGGAGAGAGAGAGAGAGAGAGAGAGAGGTTTCGACCTCCCTTCCCTCGTCCTCGTGACCCCGGTGACCCCCACCCCCCCACCCCCAGCCCGATGAAGCCCCGGGGTCCACCGCCCCGCCCCGCGCCCCTCCTCCCGCGGGGGGCTCCGGCGTCCGGAGCCGCGTCCCTCCGGGCTGCGGCCGGCCGCGCACGTCCAGGGAGGGCGGAGGGAGGAGGGAGGGGAGGGGACGAGGGGAGGGAGGAGGAGGAGGGCGAGAGAAAGCGCGCTGCGTGCGGCCCCGCTGCCCAGAGAGCCTGCCAGCAGCGCGCCCTCGGCGGCTCCGGTCCCAGCCGCGCCCGCCGCCTCGCCTCCTCCGCCTCGGCCGCGTCCCGACTCCGGGGCTCGCCCGGCCACTCGGAGGGTCCCCCCGAAGCCGGCTCCGGCTCCCCGCAGCGCCGCCCGGCTCCAGCCCCGGGGAAGGTAGCAGCGGGCGAGCGCGCCCTCGCCCCCACCCCCCAAGCCCCACGCCCCAGCCCCGCGCGGAGACCAAGGACCGGGAAGATGAACGGCGGCGGCAAAGCCGAGAAGGAGAACACCCCGAGTGAGGCCAACCTTCAGGAGGAGGAGGTACCGAGTGGGGGTCCGGCTCGGGGAGGGGGGGACCCCGGGACGCCGCTGCGTCCCGTGGGCGCGGGGCTGGCTCCACGCGCGTCCGCGTGCCCCAACGTTATTGCATAACTTTTGAGGACTTTCCCGAGACTTTTGTAAGTAGAGAGCTCAGCTTTGTCTGCCCGGGATGTTAAAAGCGGAATCGAGAGCTGACTCCCCGGTGACCTCAGATGATTGGGACCAGGGAGGGTCAGGACTTGGGTTCTGCGTCCGCTGCTGGGAGTTGGAGGGGGAGGGAGTCAGGGTGAAGGAAGAAACTCTGGGAAAGTTTTCGGTAAGAGGTACTTCCGACCCCGGCTCCCCTCCCTCCCTGTCGGTGTTAAAAGTTCTGGGTGAAATATCCTCTTAGCTGAGACATTTTGGATTAATAGATAACTCATCAGCCGCATTTTTCTCTGATGAGTCGAAGACTCCCGCGGAACCTGGGAGATGTCGAATTTGGGGGGAAGGGGGAGGCGAGAATAACAAGGGCTAGAAGCGTTGGGTTCACCAAAGGCAAGGCACATGGAGGTCATTTTTATAGGAAAAAAAAAAAATCACGGTTTTTATGTGGTACACTCGGAATGACGATTAAAAACGGTTTGCGGCTGTGGTGCGTTTCTTGCTGAGACCCTGGAGTGATGTGTGGGGATGGGGCTCCGGAATTTTGTGCGTTTTGTGGACAGCCTGTCTTGACTTCACTCCTCCTGCAAGTGGATTACCTGGAGTCCGAGAGACTGTACTGATCTTTTTAAGGTCTCCCAGAATTGAGTGTGCAGACGCAGAAACTGTAAAAAGGGTGCTTGTACAGGTAACTTACATCCTGATAAGGAGGGTGAACATGACCCAAACCGACCCTAAAGTGGTTAAAGTGGTGAGAATTTTGAGACCCTGTGTGCAATCTAAAATACCGAGAGTGAAACCAAACGTTAAGAAAGAGTTCGTCCACCTGTGAACTGCCCGCTGGAAGAATGGGAACTGTTTAAATGGGGAAGGCAGAAGAGACCTAAACTTATGCAAAACAACGCAAATTAAGATTTTACTCACCACGGTCGGAAAGGTGGTGCACCCCAGTGCCTTGAAGAAAAGCTGGAAATTGCCTCCCCGCTTGAAGAGATTACCCACGTTATCAGCAAGTATTGCTTTGGAAAGTTTTGTTTATGCTGTTTTATAACATAGCCTGGAGTCAGCAGCAAGTTCCGGCTGTTTTTTTTTTTTCCCCCAGTTTATTTCCTGACCAGTTAAACTTATTTTTAAAAAATGATGCCTGCTTGCTTTTTAAGAAATTGCTGGGGTTTAGCAAGTTTTAGTTAACACAACAAGGTAACTCATTTCTGATTTGCAGTACCTGCTGAAAGATGGATCTTGTGAAACTTTCTTTTTTCCTTCATCTGGTTCAGAAAAAAGTTGTAACTGGGAGAAAAAGCTCATTAAAAGCAGCAGAAGCCAAAGTTTTGTTCTTTTAAAATGATTTTGGAAGATAACAGAACCCCATAGTTTTGTTTGTTTGTTTGTTTGTTTGTTTATTTATTTTAAGGTTTTGGTACATAACAGTAGATTTGTCTTCCACACCCACTTGACTTAAAATTATGGCCAGTCAGCTTTTTCTCTTGATCCATCTCAGCTGAGAACACCAAGGTTCCCCTCCTGATCTTGTCCTATAAGTGCCCTTGTTGGACCCTGGTGGTGCAATCATCTGCCTTATTTGCCCTGTTGCACTGACAGTTTCCTTTGTTGGGTAGAAATAAGAGGTGTGTGTGATTCTAGGGGATGTTAATTTTTTTTTTTTTTTTTAGTGAAACGTGTTATTTGAGAAATAAGGAAGATTTCAGTTAGAGCTGAGGTTGTGCAGCATAGGAGTGTATAAAACACACACCATGAAGAGTGAGCTTTAGTTACATGAATTTTTTTTTTTTTTGTACTAGGAAATGAACCCAGGACCATGGGCATGCCAGGCAAGCACTCTATCACTACCTACTTTATACATTTTATTTAGGAGTAGGGTTTCCTAGGGTGCACAGTCAGGCTTTGAACTTGTCTTTCTGCTTAAGGGTACTGGGATTAAAGGCATTTGTCATCATACCTGGCCAGCTAGTGTAATTGAAATATACAGGGAAAGAAAATGGGTGTGAGTGATCCAGGTAATTTTATCATAATTCTCTCTGTGTATAGTTGGAAAAAATAGTTTTCTTCTTCTTCTTCTTCTTCTTCTTCTTCTTCTTCTTCTTCTTCTTCTTCTTCTTCTTCTTCTTCTTCTTCTTCTTCTTCTTCTTCTTTTTTTTATAACCCTGAAAGCCACAAGTAAAATAAATGGAGTATTTGGTGAGTCCTATTAGTGTGCTTGTCATGATACAAAACCACAACACTGGACCCATTCCCTGCCCAACCAGAGGATCAGCAATTTGTTCCAATATATTGAAGAGTCCTGGAGTGGTCTCTAGTAAGCAGAACACACACGAGTGCTCACACACATACACATATCACAAGTGTGTATACATACATGAAGGCAAGAGAAGAAAAAATATGCTTGTTGTCATTTCTGGTGGCCACTGAACTGAGTTGGCAAAGTGAGGTCCAACCATCACTAACAGGAAAAAAAAAAAAAAAAAAAAAAACCAGTTTATTTCCTAAAACACCCAGGGGTTTTAGACTTTCTTCTACATTGGAGAATTCAAGGCTTTCTTTTCCCTTTCTTTCCCAGCTCCTCCTATCATCCAGTATGTTTTAACCCTAAGCCCCTAGTGGCTTATTCTGCAATAATGACACTGACATGCTTTTGTGTGGAAGGCAAAGTCCAGGATTTAGGAAAAGTTTTTACATCTTTCTGTGGTTGAAAAGTTTTTGAGAATCTGTGCTGTGCTTAAAATCGCTAAAATATAGCGATTTTAGGATTTTGCAGCTGTGTAAGAGATTGATTTTTCTAGTGCGTTGTGTAGGTATGCTCTTTGCAAGTTTTTCTGCAAAGACAACCAGTTGTCAATCTCACTGGGACCTGAATGTTGCAAGTGTTTTGTGTGTATGCACAAAGTAGTGGATTATTTCTTACATCATTTTTACAATTAGGAAAGTAATAAAGTAATTCTGGCAGGAGGATTGAAGCTTTAGAAGCTAGCCTTAGCTACATGGCAAGGCTCTGACTTGAAACAGAAGTTCTTAATTAAGTGTGTTGATGAGTTCTTCGTTTTGTAAGGTAGAGCCAGGTGAATTTCTGATTCTGAGGCCAGCCTGATCTACGTAGCAGGTTCTAACCCAGTCAGGGCTACATAGTTGAGACACTGTCTCATAAGTTTTTTTTAAAAAAGATTCTTACAATGTGTCTCCAATTGTATGATCTGTTTTTATTAAAGTTAATAAGTATGCAACTAATAAACTCATAATTTGTCATAATTAACTATTATTAGTAAGTTTTAATGCATTCAAACATACTGAGACTTTCTGCCTTTCAGAACCTATAGATGAGTGATTATCTTTTTTGAAATAAGATAAACATTTATTTGGTTTTATTTTTAGTTTCTTTCATGTCATTGGGTACTTTTTGGGTGACTCACCTTATGTTGAAGCAGTTTAAAATATATCTCAGTTCTGGGAAAGCAGTATAAGGACTAATTAAATCAGAGAAGCAAGGGTTGGCTGTGTTGATTGAAGTGTCTGGCAGAAATTGCATAAAGTCAGATCTTAAGAGGGTCATGCAATTTTTACCTCCAGTCTTTCGGAGTGCTTAGTATTTTGCCAAAGCATTGGGGGTTGTAATTTTTTTTTTTTTTTTAACAGTTGGCATAGAGAAAAGGCAATGTCAAAAAGGTAACATGAAGATGACGTGTCATGACTTCAGGGAGGGATCAGGGTGGTTTTCTACAATTTAACCCATTGTTGCAAACCAAATCTAACACAGTAACCATGTTTCAGTCATGGGATAGGACTTGGTGACAGTGATTTGGATGGAAATGTGACCTCATGGTGTCCCAAGAGTACCGCCAATATGGCGTGAATTTTGTGTTACTTTGCCATAAGTGGTTTTCTAGTCTCTCTATCACGGACTGGTCTTTGTAGTGCTCTGTTGGCGGTGCTCTGACTTGATCCTTTGGTAGAGGTAGAGGCTTCTTTGGAGACATTCTGTCACACTGTTTGTAGAGAATCCTGTTTTTCTGCTGAATTCAGTGTTAGCGCTCAGGCAATAAACTGGGAACCTGGCAGCAATGATAGAAATTAGGGTTGTGGTTCTGAGAGATTTTGGCAGGAGGCATCAAAACATGTTCTGGCCCTTTGATTTAGTACATGTTAGGAACTTACTCTAAGGAAATGGGTGGACTAAAGATTTCTTTCTAGGAGTGATTATTGGAGGCTTGTAATGGTGAAAATTCACAGAAACTGTTCAACAAAGGGAAACTGGCTAAGGAAGTCATTATGTATGTAACTCCATAGGGAATGTTATGCAGTGCTTAAAGGGTATGCCCTTTAAAAATGTATTTATTACTCACTGTTTTTATATCTGTAGTGTGTATACAGTAACAAAAGAAGGGTCTGGAAGCTAAAAGTCTGAAGTCAAGGTCCTGGCACTGCTGCCTGGAAAATTTTAAGGAGGATCCGGGCTCCAGGCATTCTGAGGACAATGTTTTTGGTGACCAGACCGTAGTTTTCAAGTTTTAATCGATTTTTTTAAATATTATAATACAATTACCCCATTTCTCTCTTAACTTCCCCCTCCAAAAAGTTCTTTAAAATAAAGTTATGTAATCAAACGGGCTAGGTACAGATCATTGTGAATTGCTTTCTCTTTCATTTCCAAATCACCATGTAAACAAGTGATGCCAGGCCTTTCGGTTTGGAAGATTTTGTTAAATTCCTTTGTCATCCAGGTAGGTGTAACTAGCTGTCAGGTTGGTCAGATTTGGCTTACACACTTGCCTTGGGCTGGACTCTGGCCTGGTCTATTCTGTGTCTCACTCTTCCATTTACCACAGTTCATTTCAGTGATCTTC